TTAATATTCCCGCGTCTATACGTTTGTTTTTATGGAAGGGAAATGTTCCAACAATGAGTTTAATTTTTATTGTTTAGACTGATTTATAACCAGCTTATACCTACGTTAACTGTTGTGTGGAAATAAAATTGCTTTTATAATTTAATTAATAATATGAGTTCAAATTATTAAAATATGAGACACGTTAATGCTGGAATTTTTGTAGTCGCAATATGGGACAATTTTATACAAAATATTTTAAATATTGACAAGACTGACATATGATATGTTACATTCATTCATACAAAATACAAAATCCTAAGCGTCCAAGATTTTGCCAATAATAATTGTTTTAAACAATTTAAACTGTTTTATTTAAATTTTTATTGTCCACGACATCTAAGTACAAAAGAAGCAATTGTTTTGACATTTATACCAAATTGTTTTAACATTGTTTTAATCAAAACCAAAAAAGTTCCTTTTATTTTCCATCGGAGAGACAACAAAGTAGTCTGCTAGACATAAAATATTGTTTTAAAATTGTTGTGGATGGAAAAGATGGGAATGCCCCCAGGACAACGAATGATTTTATACAAAACTTATAATTTTCTGGCAGCAAAAAACCGTAATAAAGTGCCTCCTCGTCGTTCACACTGATATATTTTTATAATTACATTTCTTTCTCATAATTACCTACATGTGAGCACGGCTCCGATCAAAAAACAAACAAAACCGTAGGAAAATAAGCAGCAACAAGTTTGCTTTTTATTCGTATGTTTTGATTTGCTATTTTTTATATTTAATTTGAATAAGCAATTTTTTTAAGTTTATTCTTTATAAACTAAAATACACACACCGTCAAAACTCTTGGACCCCCTAATATCTTTGGGAATGAAAGAAAATAACATGTAATAATTAATTGTACAAAATTTGATGCTCTGTTGCTGTATGACAAATTGTAATCAATGCTGTGTTAAAAGTAGACGATAACACTACTAAACGTTTTTGCACGATGACAAAACACTGCAATTTGCATGCGACTATTTCTATAAAAACGTAATATTGACATTAGCTTGTGTTTATATTTTACGAGGGGAGTCCAAGAGTTTTTTGTATTAAAAACTTTTGTTTTAAGATTTTTTTTAGAAATATTATATGAGAAACCCCGAAATTAATATGGTAACATGGTAACTACATTTTTCCTTTATCTATGCCAGTGGTTATCAAACTTTTTTTGCTGAGGGCCAATAGAGGCAATTTAGTATGGTACCTCGGGTCGCATATAGCCTCAATAATACACTGCCCGTCAAAATTAACGCATAAGTAAAAAAATTCCAACTCTAAAACGCCTTTACCAATCTTTGTGAAATTTTGTATAAAAATACTTCAACTTATATTTACGTGTTCGAGGGTTTTTCGAGAAAATATTTTTAAAGCCCTTTTATTTAATAATAAAAAAACGTTTAGAGAATTTTTTTTAACTAAATAAAAAACATGCTGTTAAAGACCGTATTTTTGTTAGTATACCCAGAAAATTTTGTACAAATCAAACCAACAGTAACGAAGATTCAGCCCTGTATTTTCGTTACTGTTCGTTTGATTTTTACAAAATTTTGTACAAATCAAATGAACAGCGCTTCAAAGTCGTCAAAAATGACCACTTTTCAGCAAAATAATCTAAAAGGGCCATTTTTACCGACTTTGAAGCGCTGCATCTTCGTTACTGTTCGTTTAATTTGTACAAAATTTTTAGGGTATCTAACAAAAATACGGTCTTTAACAGCATATTTTTTATTTACTTAAAAAAATTACCCTAAAAGTTATTTTTCGAACGTTTTTTCATTATTAAATAAAAGGGCTTTACAAATATTTTCTCGAAAAACCCTCGAACACGTAAACTGAGATATAAGTTGAAATATTTTTATGCAAAATTTCATAAAGAATAATAAAGGCGTTTTAGAGTTGGGTTTTTTTTACGGTGGTTGCAAAAATTATGGCCAATACTGTATGTGACGCGCTCCAAAAGAACCTTAGGTCAAAAAATTTTACAGGAGAGGCGATTGAAGTTCGCGCAGCATAGGCGTTTGTGTAGTAACGCTTGACTTTGTAAATTCGTAGCATTGTCAATTTTTAAGATAAACATATCATTATTGGATTTTTGAAAGATCTTGTACCAATCTACTAAATGTTGGTACCAACTCTCTATAGGCAATAATTAAGAGTTTAGTCAACAAGGAATTAAGCAACAATTTAACTTAATTTATCGTAAATCGTAAAAAAATATTGTAAGAAATGAATAGTTTGGGATACACCAATGTAATGTCAACGTAAACGGAGGGAATACTTTAATACTTGAAAACTACAGGCCTTAAATAGACATTATGTTCTATGTTGCGTGATGTGGAGCTGGTCCGCAATTTTCGGGACACCCTGTATATGTTATGCATTTAGTTTTAATTGCAATAATTTTTTAATCTTAAAGTTCACGCTGTATTGGTATCGATACCGCGATATAGGTGGTATATCGAAAAGAGCAGGCAGGACCGTGCATTGAGTGCAGCTTAGAACAAAACGTCTATTCGCAATGTCATTGTCAGAAGAAAGAGAGAAGTCGAGAGAGGAGAAAAATGCTGAAAACGAATTAAGTTGCAACGGAATAAAACGTGGAATAATGCCGTGGCATATCAACCTGTTCGTTAAATGAATGTATGAAACCGAATAATAACAGTATGGGTGGTCTATAGCATAAATAACCCCGCCTATATTTGTATTTGTATCCACCCTATTGTCCATTCATTTGAGCCAATTAATTTATCAAATATTTAAACTTTTTTATTCCAATTTGCTTTTCTGATGACACATGATTTACCGAGAGGGTACTTCAGGAAAATTTATACCGAGTCTGAAAAACATCCCTAGAGTAAAATGTTCATTCAAAATTTTCATTCATACTTGTTGTAGTGAAAATTTAATTCAAATACTAATATTTTCATACTCAAAACCAAATAAATCAATTTTTGTCAAAAGTAATTAGATCGTTTCTTCTGTTAAGTCAAGCTAAAAGTCATAAAATGTTTACAAAATACCCACTCAAACTCAAAAAGTAAAATGGGGGGCGATGCCCATGCCCGATCTGATAATAAATCAATTTTTGGTCTACAACAGATAATTTGCATTTGTTAATTACACCTGAGATAAAAAATAAAATTAGTAGCTCCTTTATTTTTTTAAAAATATTTTGCGCTTTAGAATCATTCCTTAACATTTTTGGATGGGATTCGGAAACACCCTGTACGTATTTGTCATAGATATAGCTTAAACAGGTTTTTAAACTAATATTTTAAATTTCCATTGTCCAGTTTCAGTGTCATCTACAACATGCAATATTTTTTTCCAAAATATTCATCAGCGTGTTTTTTCGCCATATCTTTAATTTTTATAAAATTGATTTATCTATTCATTTATTCAAGATAAATTATAATGTTAATAATACACAATCACTATTTATTATTCAATGTTATGGGTCATACAATAAGGATGTCCTATTTAATTACGCAATTCGTTTTAACATGACGGTCATAATGCGCGTATAACAAACTTTTAAGAGAAAGATTTTAAGCTTTTGTAATTTTGCTTGGTGGAAATGTAAAGTGGCCACCAAGTTCATCCAGAAAAAAATCAGATAGAGAAGAACGTGCTGGAACCAGTGTTAAAATTGTAGTTGGGAAAAAATGCTTGGAGGTTTTGTGGGAACGGTGGTTAAAAAGAAAAAGTTTGTGGAAACTAATTTTACTAACATAATTTTAAAATTGTCAAAGATTATTCAAAAATACCCACAATCAGCCCACGTAGTAACTACAAAATCTCTTTAAGCTAAATGTGGTGTAAACAGAAGATGAAGATATTTATTAACCCCTACGAAACATAATAAGGGCAAAATATTTCAGGCTATTCTTGGAGGGAAAGTGAGTGATAATAAATGTGACATATTTTATTAACCAGTAAGAGGAGACCTTGAAATAACTGACCATATGCTTATAGTACCAATTATGTCAAAGTTTTTAAAGTTGGAATGTGGATAAGTTTTAATTCAAATCCTGAATAAAACAATATATCAGATATTAAAGTTTATGAAGTATCCCTAAGAAATTCTAGAAAACGTTGCCAAGAACAAAGAAAATAATCTTATAACATCATTTTAGCAAGCACATTAATTAATTTGTTGATTGTTTCGACCTTTACTTGATGAAATAATATTATTAATATAAGAATAAAACCAACACTGTTTTAAAGTTCTACTATTTTATTTGTGTTTTTTAAATTATTAACAATTGTTTCGCTACACAGTAGCTTCTTTAGAATTAGTAAAAAAATGTACTACCTAAGTGGTGGTATTTATATTAGCTAATGCAGGTATTTGAAAAAATAAGGTATTAATAAAACTTACACAATTTTGGAAAAACTATGGATTTGGAAAGTGCTATCTAATATAATTTTACAATATTAATAAATATTATTTTTTAGTACTACAGGTGTAAAATGTATACTATACATTCTAAAATAAGTTTAGCAAAGGCGAGCTGTTGGTTTCAATTTGGTCATTAAGGACAATATCAGATTTTTTCTTTAGTTTATTAATTTCCAAAGATTCCAGAAGATTTAGTTTGGTACTTTTATTGGCTACATGTAATATTCTAAAGTTATCATCAAATTTGTGGTTCTCTTGTATTGGATGGTTAGCATATGAAGAATCCTGTTTGAGGTTTATATAGGATTTCTTGTGTTCTTTAATTCGTGTATTAAAGTTTCGTCCCGTTTGACCTATATATGTTTTCGGACAGTATCTGCAAGTTAGTTGGTAAACGCCGGACTTTGAAGATTTTGATGTTTTATCTTTGTTGTTTTAACTTTTATTAATAAGTAAACGTGTTTGAAAAGAGCTCTTGATGAAAAAATAAAGAGAGGAGGTTGGTTTACAATATTTCCATTAAAATGCCTTAACTTTAACCTCCTTAATTTAGGAACAGTCTTGCCCAATAAAACCATCAACATTTTGTGATGGATGTGATGAGACGTTTTCTGTACAAGATTTCCTTAGTTGTAAAAAAGATGGATTAATTATAAAAAATATTAGACGTCACCATGAAGTGATTGGTTATTTGATGGGGGATGCTTGGGGAAGTTATTTGAGGGAGTCAATTGCTATGGAATCAATGATGATCCAATTCTGCGTGCTGACGTAGAATGCCCGGGGGGTTTGGGAACCATAGGTAGAGACCTTATTTGATGTGCATGTTGATACACACGCCGGTTTATATAGTTCCATGACTCTTAAATCTACAATTAAAAGAGCAGAAACCAAGAAAAAATCAAAATACATTACAGTTTCCGAAAGACGCCTTGCATCATTCAGCCCATTAGTAACATGTGTTGATGGATAGCTGGGATATGAGTAAGGCCCGGATTTTTAGGTCATAAAAAAGTGATAAAAGGTTCCTAAATTAGGTGATATTTTTAATAAAATAGGTTATTATTTTAGGTACTATGCTCCACACTTCAAAGTCCCACCACGTGATCACGTACGGAACGCAGTCTTTTGATAATTTGTCATTTAAGGCTTTTCAGGTTATGTATCTGTCAAAGTATAGTCAATACAAGAAATAATATTTATACTGTTACCATTTATGTTTAGGCGTTAAAAGTTTATAAATCTTTATAGTATCACAGTAACAATGGTTGGTTTAAGAGTTTTGGAGTATAAATACTGCATTAAATGAAATTCTAAAGTGTATAGTGCGAAATAAGTAAAATTTTTGTGCATATATATGGTTTTATCCATAAAATAGTTTTAACTAAACGGCATTTATTAAAAAAATCTAGCTTGTCTATTATGGAATAAGAATATCTGTATCAAAGGTAGGTTAATATATTATAACAAAAAATATCATCTAATTTTGAAATTTTAAGGTTAGAAAAATCTATTTTGATCAAAATAAGTATTTTGGATTATTTGGAAGAGTGTGTTAATATGGTCATATAAATATAGATATACTAAATAATTGTTGAATATGGTTCAAACTAAATTAAAGCTTTTATACTCCTAACAACAAAACTTGTGCATATCTCTTGGGATCCCTACTTTAGGTTAGATTATAAGGAAACAAACAATTTTTAGAGATACATGCAATGTAAAAATATTTAATACTCCAATAACATGTGATTTTTGAAATTTTTAAAAGTTACAATGATTTTTACGATGAAGATAAAATTCAGTTGAAGCTTTATACGTAATTGTATTGACAAAACTTTATGTAGGTATACTTTAAGCTGGATAAGAAAGACTACTACAAGTAAAAATATTAGATAGAGTATACTGTGGTTTTATTTAAATTTTAGAATTTATAAGGTTATTTATACCTAATGATTGTTCGATGTAGATAAAATTTTGTCGAAGCTTTTATAGGTACCTGTAGATATTGACACTATGGGTATATTAGCTGACAGTGTAAGGAACTTTAAGAAGGTTAGCTATTGAATTTCCAAAAACACTTGTAAAAACTATTTACAGTTACAGTACCTACCTAATGGTTTTATATTTGAGATCTCTGGATGACTAATTTGTTTTACTTGGGCATAAATATTTATTTATTTAAAGTACCTACATATAAACATCTTTGATTAATTAAATAAACAAAAAATAATATATTTAAAATAAAAATTTAAAGAATCTAAAATCGATAAAAGTTCAAAAACTCACATATGGGGCAAAACACCTCAAGTGTTCCCACCTAAAAATGATGTTTTCTCGGATTTTAACAAAACTTTGCCAAATCATTGTCCTATTGGACTACCTTAATTTTCCAAATGGGGGGCAAAAAGGATTAGCGGGTTGCAGAGATACAGGGGCCTGAAAATTTATTTTTTTTCTCGTGCGCTTAAAAGACGTCGAAATATTCATGTATATAATAATTTTTTTTAAATTGATAATCAACATATCGTATAGCATTTTTTCCACGCTTTACGATAAAAATGGTCTCGAAAGCGAGAAAAAATTTTTTGGTTATAAAAAAACGATTTTAAAAATATATTTGTTTTTTTCTCGAAATGCGACCCATTTGATTTTTTTTAAATTAATATCAAAAGAAAGCTTGTTCAATTCCCTAAATTTTGATATAATATGAAGATGGGATCCCAAGAATAAGTCTAAAAAAAATAAGGGTTGAAGCGCGTATTGCAGCGGTGCTCGGTCAACTACTTAGTTGATTAATTGGAGGGTCAATACAACTTTTAAAATTATTTTTATATAGAAATAAATGTATTTTTCGATGGGTTAAAGTCAAAACAGCACAAGCGCCAAATTTTAATTTTTTTTTTAGAAGAAGGTCGATAGAGAATTTACATGTACTTCTAAAAAATTTAAAAATTTTGGCGCCTGTGTCGTTTTGCCTTAAACTCATCGATTTTATTGCAATAGTTCAAATTAATAGCAATTAAAACCCATGTTTTGGTTTTTGTAGTCGAAAAAGAAAAATGTAGAAAGTAATAAGTTGCTCTTACTCTGAATAAATTACACGTGCACGTAAATGTAAATAAGTTCTACTATTTAATGCAATTGCAAGTGTCTCACAATAATAATAAACATTTTTCATGTAAACTTTTTATTGAACATTTTACCTATTTTTTATTTTTGGGAAAAATATCATATTCGTTAGCAAACGATATTTTTTTTAAGTACAAAATTCCTTTTCCGTTAGGAACAAATGAGTGATATTTCTGTGTCCCAGGAATTGATTTTGCAGAATCAAATCGCTTTTTAAGAATTTCTGCTGTTTTCATATGATTTTTTTCAGGACTGAAAAATACTTTTGTTTCTGACAAACTTTTTTTAGCCCATTCATACAAATCATTGGCACTTAAAATTGGATTTTTTGATGTTGCCTGCAAACTTGCGCGGGCAGCGAGTCTTTTTAAATTCCCGCCAATGCCATCACAGGGGCCTTTACCGTGTGCTGTTGCATGAAAGTGCAATCAGTTTCATGTTGCATAAGGTTTTTAAAGTTATGTATACTTGTTTTTGCAATGTTGAAAGTTACAACTTGTAACTAGGGGTTTTGGTAAACTAACAAAAATAGTTTCATTGGTTGCTTGTAAATTAGGTATGCCATGATTTTTTATTTATGCTGGGCATAGAAAGGCCCCTGTGATGGCATTGGTGGGAATTTAAAAAGATTCGCTGCCCCCGCAAATTTGCAGGCAACATCAAAAAATCCAATTCTAAGTGCCAATGATTTGTATGAATGGGCTAAAAAAAGTTTGCAAGAAACAAAAGTATTTCTCAGTCCAATTGCATTAAATAGTAGAACTTATTTACATTTACGTGCACGTGTAATCTTTTCAGAGTAAGAGCAACTTATTACTTTCTACAATTTTCTTGTTCGACTACAAAAACCAAAACATGGGTTTTAATTGCTATTAATTTGAACTATTGCAATAAAATCGATGAGTTTAAGGCAAAACTACACAGGCGCCAAAAATTTTAAATTTGTTAGATGTACATGTACCTGCAGGTCGATAGAGAATTAAATTCTCTATCGACCTTCTCCTAAAAAGAAATTAAAATTTGGCACTTGTGCTGTTTTGACTTAAACCCATCGAAAAATACATTTATTTATATATAAAAATAATTTTAAAAGTTGTATTGACCCTCCAATTAATCCACTAAGTAGTTGATCGAGCACCGCTGCAATAGGTGTACTATAGTAGCTGCTCGCCGCACGGTCCCTACGCGCTTCAACCCTTATTTTTTTAGACTTATTCTTGGGATCCCATCTTCATATTACATCAAAATTTAGGGAATTGAACAAGCTTTCTTTTGATATTAATTTTAAAAAAATCAAATGGGTCGCATTTCGAGAAAAAAACAAATATATTTTTAAAATCGTTTTTTTATAACCAAAAAATTTTTTCTCGCTTTCGAGACCATTTTTATCGTAAAGCGTGGAAAAAATGCTATACGATATGTTGATTATCAATTTAAAAAAAAATTATTATATACATGAATATTTCAACGTCTTTTAAGCGCACGAGAAAAAAAAATAAATTTTCAGGCCCCTGTATCTCTGCAACCCGCTAATCCTTTTTGCCCCCCATTTGGAAAATTAAGGTAGTCCAATAGGACAATGATTTGGCAAAGTTTTGTTAAAATCGGAGAAAACATCATTTTTAGGTGGGAACACTTGAGGTGTTTTGCCCCATATAGAAAAAAAATAAGTTTGGAAATTTGTAAAATAATAAAAAACATTTAAAATTATTTAATAATTTGCAAATTTTAATATGTTGTTTTTAGATTCCTTCTTTAAAATTAACCCCTTTTAATATTTAATTAATTTTAAAAATCTTGAAATAGTTAAGTTTTACAGTTGAAAATATTTATGCCGGAGTAAAACAAAATAGACATCATAATTGAACAACTGGCTCTTGGAAATAAGCAATATTAAACATTTCAAATAGGTATAAAACCATTAGATAGGTACTTAATTTTAAAAAACTGTAAATTCTTTTTAAAAATTCAATAGCTAACCTTCTTAAAGTTCCTTACACTGTCAGCTAATATACCCATAGTGTCAATACAAGTACCTATAAAAGCTTCGACAAAATTTTATCTACATCGAACAATCATTAGGTATAAATAACCTTATAAATTCTAAAATTTAAATAAAACCACAGTATACTCTATCTAATATTTTTACTTGTAGTAGTCTTTCTTATCCAGCTTAAAGTATACCTACATAAAGTTTTGTCAATACAATTACGTATAAAGCTTCAACTGAATTTTATCTTCATCGAAAAATCATTATAACTTTTAAAAATTTCAAAAATCACATGTTATGGGAGTATTAAATATTTTTACATTGCATGTATCTCTAAAAATTGTTTGTTTCCTTATAATCTAACTTAAAGTAGGGATCCCGAAAAGGTATGCACAAGTTTTGTTGTTAAGTATGTTAGCGAAAGGGTACTTAAGAGCATACCAAGGGCAAGAGAAGATAAACAAATGAGGACCTACGTAGACACATTAGTTTTAACGGCAGTGTGCCTGACACTTTGAAAACGATCGGTTGATATTGTGAGAGTAGTTTTGAATAAAGACTTATAGTACTAAATAAATTAGTTTAAATTATTTAAACAACATTATTGTTGTTTATTTATAACATCAGAAGTGGGATAGTGACCTGTGCAGTGA